TCAGGGACCTTTCCCTCAGATTCAGAATGCTGGAGGTGGATCTCTTCTCCACTCCTCAAATCGCCCAGGTCACCAGATTCATCACCAGGTTTTCTTGCCAGGGAGTGGAGGGGACCAATGCCCTTCAGTGCAGATGGCCCAAAAGTCTCCTCTATGCCTTTCCCCCACTCCCCATCATTCCAGCAGTAATTCGGAAGATGTTGGAGGAACGAGCAGAGCTCCTCCTCCTGGTACCCTATTGGCCAAGAATGCCCTGGTTTGCGGACCTGGTCAACCTATTGGTGGCTTCTCCTTGGAGGATCCCAGCCCATCTAATTTCCCTTCATCAGGGGATTCTGCTCCACCCGGAGCCCCAGTGGCTCAAGTTGACCATGTAGCACTTGAGTGGTAGCGGGTAGAGGTGGCTGATCTTCCTGAAAGGGTCATCATCACTATCCTGGCATCTCGCAAACCTTTCACAAGGTGCATCTATGATGCCACCTGGAAGGCCCTTTCCCGATGGTGCCTTAGGGAGGGTCTCTCTCTCTCCTCCTTTAGCCCAGTTGGCAGAGGTTCTTAGATTCCTTCACCATGATCTGGAGAAAGGTTTGGCCCCCAACACTTTACGCAGGCAGGTTGAGGCCCTCTCCTCGGTTCTTTCATGGGGTTCGCTTCCTTCCTTATCCCATCACCCTTCAGTCAGGAGGTTTTGAAAGGGGCTTCCACCCTGCACCCGCCGGTGGTTCACAGGTATCCTTCCTGGGATCTTCATGTGGTCCTTAATGCCCTTACAAAGCCCCCCCTTGAACCCCTTAGAACATTGTCTCTCCATTTCCTGTCTCTGAAGGTAGTGTTCCCCGTTTCCATCACTTCAGCCAGGTGGGTATCTGAGCTTGCTGCTCTTTCCATCAGACAGGACCTTTGTTCCTTTCATGATAATAGGGTTGTCCTCAGTCTGGACTCCTCATTTATTCCAAGGGTTAACACCTGTTCCACAGGTCCCAGGACATTATGTTGCCTGGCTTCTGCCCCCTCCCACACCATGACTTAGAGTAGCAGTGGCACACGCTAGACGTAGGTAGGGCTCATAGAATATACATTAAGCGCACTTCCTCCTCAGGAAGTCGGAAGCCATTTTGTTTCCCTTTCCCTTCTCTCTGGGCGCACAAGGCCTCTTTTACTATTAGCAGGTGGGTCAGATCTTGCATTGAGCAGGCCTACAAAGCTGCGGCCCTTCCGGTTCCTTGAGGTCTGATGGCGCACTCTACCAGAAACATGGCCACTTCGGCTGCCTAGGCGACCCAAACACCTGTCATGCGGCCACGTGGACATCTTTGACTCCTTTCATCAGATACTACCATCGGGATGTCTTTGCCTCGGCAATTGCAACTTTCGACAGACGGGTGCTTCAATGAGTGATTTAACAGTCGGTGTGATGAGCCGGACGAGGACCTGCCCATGGACATGCAAGGTTTGGTATGTCCCATCCTGGGCTCTCGATGCAGCATGGAGGAGAATGGGCATTGGTAGAAGTTACCCTGAACGCACTTTCTATCTATGCTGCGAGAGAGCCCAGCCCCTCCCTTGATTCGTCCGGAGAGGAAAAGTCATATTTCTGTATTCATTTGTGCTTTCAGAGACACCATTCAGTCTGTCAAGTATCTTCGCCAAAGCTGGGGTCTCTTCTGGGGGCTGGCTTTTATATCTTAGTACAGACTCAGCTAAATGACGTCATAGGAAGGAGTCAACCCATCCTGGGCTCTCTCGCAGCATAGATAGAAAGGGCATTCAGGGTAACTTCTACCAATGCCCATTTCCTTCCTTTTGCATCATTTCTGGGATTTTGCTGTTCTGAACTGAATCATCACCAATCTTTGCTAAATCTGCTCTCATGCTGTTCTTTATTCACTCCTTCACAGCACAACATGTTTTAACCTTTGATCACACAAGAAATCCGTCTTCGCCACTACCTGTGATCTTCCCCAAATAGGACAGGAAAAATAATTAAAGTATGAATAAAACCAAGTGTTGGAAAAATATGCCGTTCCAGATGGGGATGATGATTAGATGAGGTGATAGACTGATTACAGAAACATCTTGAAAAAGCATGAGCACATTATTTCCACACATTATATTTGGTCAGCAGTGCTTTTCCAGTTAATTCTGAAGAGTGACTCCAGTAAGTCTAAAGTGGCAATGATTCTTAGTTTACCCAAGAATACTTTTATGCAGAGGAATAGATACCCTTGTACATAATAATAATAATAATAATAATAATAATAATGCATAATACATAATACATAATACATAGATACCTTGTACATAAGGGGCATGCATAAGTGCACCATCGTGCCTACTGTCCCTGTCCTATTGTCCCCATTTATTCGTACTTATTTCCTGTATTCTTATTCATGTGTATACTTATATCTATTACCTTGTAAGCGATTGACAAATCAAATGAATAAAAAATAAATAAATAAATAAAATAATATCGGTATGTACACATCAAACCTAGTGTAATGTAGTGATTCTACTAGTTATAACATTGTGCTTGAAATGTAATGTTTACATTTGGTATCTATGTATTTTAATTATGTTTTAGAATAGGATACTTAAATGTGCCAAGATTTTTGCACCACAGTCTAAGGTAGTAGTAGGGAACTTGAGTCTCTCAAGATGTTCTTGAACTACAATTGGCCATGCTATGTTTTATGGATTTGTTGATAAGAAAGTGATGGGATATGGAATGAGTGTTTACAATCTTAGAGGGAATGAAGAGTTGCTAAATTTATTTATACTTGTGATGAAGGTTGGAAATTTATGTATTTCTTTTCTTTTTATTATATTCTTTTTGTTTCTTCCCCTTTTTTATTGTCATCTTTATTTCTTTCTGTTCTCCTGTGTCTGTTTAAGTTTACCTTGCATTAGATTTTACTAGTCTAATCAAAATTCTTACACATTTTACTAACACACACACACGCACACACACACAGCCAGTTGACCAAGCTGAAATGGTATAGGTTCACTACTACTGATCTAGTATGAATGGATTAATGTTACTGAGATTACATATTAAAGTATTGCTATAAGTGCCAGAAAATAGAATCATCTCTTTTTTTTTTAATGCGTGTTAGTGGAGTAACTCTGGGCTTGAAGATAGTGCCCTTATTGAGCTATAACTTATCAAGTGGGCTGGAAAGAAGTGGCATTGAGGGTCAGTTCCATTCTATTCTTCACCTATAGCCATCGGGCCCCCTCTATAACCTTTCCTCCATTGTTGAGGAAGGGGCACTGACAGGTCTAGTCTTTCCAAATTTGGTTTCTCTCAAGAGAGGAGGACAGGAGAAATGGATGTACTTCCTGCCTTCTGATTTTTCCTACTATCTCCCTTTGGTAGCATTTTCTAGCTTTGCATGGAGGGGAAGCCTCAGAAGTCTACTATCTTCAAATTTAGGATTTGTTCTATCAATTGTTGGATAATAGAGGTAGAAACTAGGAGTTTAATATTGGTATGTAAACAAATTGACTCAGACAGTACACTGGTCACTATGCACTTATTGTATATAAAGAGGAAAGAAAGAAAGAAAGAAAGAAAGAAAGAAAGAAAGAAAGAAAGAAAGAAAGAAAGAAAGAAAGAAAGAAAGAAAGAGAAAGAAAGAAAGAAAGAAAGAAAGAAAGAAAGAAAGAAAGAAAGTCAGTCTATCTTCTTCCCTTGCCATTGCAGATTTCCTTCCAAAATATCATTGCTCTCTTCTCAAAAGTTATGGTTATGCTACCCAGTAATAGTGATGGGAAGGCAAATTTGATTCAAACAGCATACTGTTTCAAGGACTAGTGGTTTGATATTTTTTTATTACAAAAATAGCATTCTCTCATTCCCTTAAATGAGAGAAAGAAAAAGAAATGATACAAAGGCAAACATTCCCAAAATAAGGAGCTTCTAATGATGTTACCTTCACTGAAAAACTCCCTTTTGGAGATGGGTTTCCCAATACATTTGCTCAACTGTGGTTGAAAGTTGAGAATTACCTCTAGACCAGGGCTCTTCAAACTTGACAGCTTTAAGACTTGTGGACTTCAACTCCCAGAATTCCTCCTCCAGTCATGTTAGCTCAGGAATTCTGGGATTCGAAGTCCACAAGTCTTAAACTTGCCAAGTTTGAAGACCCTTGCTCTAGACAGTTCAGTCATGTTATTTTAATATTCCATTTGTGCATTATTGTTACGTTGCTTGAGCACTAAATAATTTGATCATTTGATGATGAACAATACTCAAAGTCATAAGGAATACCTATAATTATCATTATCCATCATACTTGCACTACTTTGTCACCTACAAAGAATATATTGGGTTAGAGCAGATGACAATTTGTATTGCTGCCAATATAAAGTGCTTATCACTTAAACTGCCCTGTTGTTTCTATGATCATTTGTTCCACTGTCTATTAAGACTTCAGATTAGTATTAAAAAGTACAGTTGCAAAGCAGAAATTTGGAGTGCTCTTCGTATGATAATTCTTGAACAGCCAGTGAAAAGCAACATAATAGAAAACCTGATCATTTCCAAAATAAAAATCATGTGACAACTGGACCCAGTTTCTAATAAAAGGCAGACTAAACACCCCCATTATAAAGAGCAAGCAAGAATAACGCAAAAAGAATTTAAATATTATTTTTGCAAAAAGGTTTCTTGCTGTTAAAGCTCAACTGTCCTTGGAATTCTCTGGAATTCTTTTGTTAGAATTTCTAATGCTTCTGGTAAAGAATGACTTACCAGGAATTTTTGAATTCTTGTGAGCTTGCTCAATTGGTTCCATTCTTTGACTTTTGGATTATGTCTGACACTGTGATAATTGGGTGCATATTTAATGACAGCACAGTTTGTCTCTGAATAGCAACCTTTTTCTGTAACTTCCTTTTTTTTCCTCCTTTGTTTGATCAGGTTTCTCTTCTGCTGGAAGACTTGCAGTCATGGCTCTGGACAATTACCTGTTCTTTAACGTGAGTACCCAGATAGCAGCCTTCTGCTGTCTGTGGCCAAGACCTCTGAACATCAACTGAAAAGCCTGACAGCCCATTCATCCTTTCGCCCTCTCCCTTCTCAAATCATCCGTCTGTCCAGTCACCCATGTCGATTTGCTATGACATACATCAGCGTTGATGAGAGGCAGGAACACTCTCGGGTAATTTTGAGCTGCCAGAACAATCAGCTGTATGTGCAACATGGCTTCAAGGAGTTCTCAATTAGCAACGCGCATCCCTTAAAGAACATGGACCCTCGTGTTTTCACTGGAGACTTTAATCCCATAAATAAAAGAGGCAATAATGCAGGAACAGATCTGTACCAGAGCATGGAGAATCTACACTGGGCCACGGTAGCTGATCCGCACTGCCGTCCTCACTGTGGAAATGTAGACAATAAACTTGTCTTTCATTGCAAAGGCCCAGCCCATTCTTCCACGGAAGATTCCCTAACTCCCAGTTCGCCTGAACGTTACCAACACTACTCCCTCCCATCAGAACAAGGGATCCCTCCAACCCAAGATATAGCCATTTCCTCTTGTGCCAAAGTGCCTCCGTGGTTTCTTTCCTCCATAAGTGGGGATGCCAAAAAAATCCTGAAAGAAAAACTTAGAATTCACAGCAGTAAAGCTCCTGAGATTGGCAAGCCCCACGGAGCTCAGCCTTCGTTGAATGATTTGGTTGCAAGGGAATGTTCTCAATGCTGGGCTTGCCAGCAATATAAGAACGGTTGCTCCTCTAACTGTTGCACCATATTTGTGCAACATGCCACTCTTGCTCATGCCCCATGGATGGCATTGGAGAGGCAACGGCCCTGCTTCTACAGCAGGCTAACCAGCCCAGAAGACATCAAGCAAGAAGCCCAGAGAAGGTTGCAGATCAGGCGGCAGAACAGTTCCCCCAACTTGACCTTGCATTGCGCCCGTGATAGTCAGAAAGTGATCAAATCCCAAACTATGGGATCGTTAAATGGAGAGGGAGGGAGTGGAGACAGCAAAACGACTCCAGAAGAGAGCAAAAAAGCTGATTGCAAAGAGAGGCTCTACATTCCAACCTTTGAAGAGTTCAAGAGGATGAGAAGCAAGGGAGCCCTTTTTCTCAATGGCAGTGGTGAAATTGTGAAGGATAAAACGGAAGGAACCCAACTGTCGGAGGAAAACGGAAGTCAAAATCAAGATCATGTTAAAGGAGTGGTTTCAGCCATAGATGACGATGACGAGGTGTTTCATGAAAACAGCCAGAATGCTTCCAGGTTTGTTGGCTGTGAAGAAAATTCATCCACATGGGACAGAAGTTTCTGCCTAATAAATATCCCTACGGCCAGGGATAAGATTTCCGAAATCCCAGCATCAGAAACCGTGCCAGTTCCCATCTGTTCTAGCCCAGTTCCAAGATCACCGTTGCAACCTGCTGCGGCATTTAGGAAGGAGAGCAAGAAAGATATTGAGGGAGGAGAAAAGCAAGGATTGGATGCAAAAAATGTCAGGGAAGCCCTCCATTGTACTGGACAATCGCTGGTGCCTGAAACTCCGTCATCTTGCTGCCCGCTGCTGTTAGAAGCAACCGATATTTCCAGTTATGGAGCTAAGTTTCAGAAAATAAAGGATGAATTTATAGGTACTGCTCTGGACCTCATTAAAAAGAGGTAATCATTTTTGTTAGAGATCCTGAGGAAAGTTAAATCCGAGGGAACTTAGTAATTTCTAATACTTTTTTATATTTGTATACTGTTGAGATGAGATAGATAGGTTTCGACTAGTGTGAACATTGTTGTCCTAGATAACATCCTTCTAGACTTTCGGAAAGTTTCTTCTGAGATAATCATATAACTTCAACCCAAGAAGCAAGGCTGGTGTCGTGTGGATTTATACTATAGAACAAAGTTTTTGTTTCAAAGAAACAGTTTCAAGTTGTGCTTCTATGATAATTTTGTACCGTATTGCTATGGCTTAATTCATACTTCATGCCAAACCACAAAGAGGCTTGGCTTTAGTTTGGCATGATGTGTAAACCTCAGCTTTTGGCTTAGCATTCTTCGTTAATATACATAACAGTTAGCAGTTTGTGAACCTCAATCTTTATTTGATGCAGGAAAGATTTCCCTCATAACTGAGGGGAAAGAGTAAAGGTGGGATTAGATTTTTCCTCGATGTGTTATTTGTTTGTTTGTTTATTTATTTGAGCACATTGAAATAACTGAAATGTATTACATGAGTATGTCCTATTAATGCTCATGACCTATGTTGCATATAATGCAGGGGTCTCTGTGGCATGAGGTGGAGGGATAAAAATGCCAAGAGGAATATGATCTGGGTTTATTACTCTTAACCAGTGTTACAGTTAACTGTATTTTTGTGGGTCTGGATAACATGGCAAGGCAACGTTTAAAAACTTTCCTGAAACCTCCCAAATTGATTGGAGGAAGAGATGCTGGGGGTCCCAGGAGAGCCAATAAAAGGCCAGTCTTATTCTGAAAATTAGCCAGTGTCCCTTGCTCAGTCTGATAGCTTGCTTATTCTACTTGAATATGCAAGAGATCAGTTTCTTTCTTAAACATGGGGCATTCAGAGTGATATCTAGATTACTGTCAGCCATATAAAATAATCTTACAGGCTCCCTTTTGAAAATTTGGGACAATGATTCAATAATAGATGATGCATGGACATTAGTACTGAATTGGCAAATGTGCATATTTGGGGCAAAAGTGTGCGTAAAGCAAAATGCAGTTTTTCTGTTTAAATTATAAAATTGAGTCAGGATTATCTAAGAATTTAGCTGTTGCTATCCCAGCAGTTTACAATTATCTCCACTTCTATAGCCTTGAACTGTAAATTGCTGGGATAGCAACAGCTAAATTCTGAGATAATCCTGACTCAATTTTATAATTTACAGTTCAAGGCTATAAAAGTGGAGGTAATACTGAAGCAGCTAGATTGTTGCTAGATTTGGGAATTACATTCTCAGGCTTCACTCTTGTATTTTGCATTTTAAAAGATGGTTTGCTAAAACCATGGTCTATTCCATACATAATCCTAAGCCATCGTCATGGTATACAAACCAAAATGGCTGAATTCATATATTGTGCTTTCCCAAAATAAAACAAATTATATTTTGGTTTAGTGATTGTGTGAAGACAATCGTGGCTTATTTGGCATTTTTAAGTATCTTGATTCAAAATTGCAATTAGTATTACGTATGATATATATGCTATGTAATATGATATATATGATATGTAATATGATATATATGATATGTAATACTCTTTATTTTTTTGAAAAAAATTTTTAATGGGGTTCCCAATAATTTTTTATACAGTGGTAAATAGTTTTGTTCTGAGTAACACATCACATTTATCATCACAGAAAATTTCTCATAGAATTCAGTTGATAGATTCTCTTCATGAAATGTTGAATGGCAAAGAGCATGATTTGCTATTTACTATCAATAAATAGTAAAGAGCATGATTGAGGGGATTATTTGTTTGTGTTTTAAAACTGAATAAGCTACTGTATAAGCTAAATAATTCTCAATAATTTTTGAATCAGTTGCAGTTCATCTTGTTTGCATACTGGTTGAAAGTGTTCTGAGTTTTACAAATACTTGGAGTGAATTATAGCCACCAAATCTGGAGCATAGCCAAATGGGAAAGATCTAAGCTAACCAATGTAAATTCTTCAGGCAAGACTTGGAAAAGAATGGGGAGTAGAGAAAGTATGGGAAGAAGAGCGTTATATATTTATTTTTTATTTATTTATTTGTCAAGCGATTATAAGATAACAGGTATAAGTATAAACATAGTTATGAATACATGAAATGGATACATATAAGAAAAATAAAAAGAAACAATAGGACAGCGATGGTAGGCACGTTGGTGTGCTTATGCACACCCCCTACAGACCTCTTAGGAAAGGGGTGAGGTCAATAGTAGACAGTCTAAGGTTAAAGTTTTGGGGGTTTGGGGAAGAAACCACAGAGTCAGGTAGAGTATTCCAGACATTGACCACTCTGTTGCTGAAGTTGTATTTCCTGCAATCAAGTTTGGTGCGGTTTACCTTGAGTTTGTATCTATTGTGTGCTCTTGTATTGTTATGGTTGAAACTGAAGTATTCATTGACAGGTAGGACATTGCAATATATAATTTTATGTACTATACTTAGATCGGACCGAAGGCGGTGTAGTTCTAGGTTTTCTAGGTCTGGAATTTCAAGTCTGGTTGCAAAAGGTATTCTGCAACGAGTAGAGGAAAATATTAAATTTGCCTTCATTTTTGCAAGACTGGGAGTCGCTTTTTTAAACATTGTTTGTTGTGCTTGTTTTTTTTTCTTTTTTGTTTCTTATTTCCTATTTTAGCATTGTTAGACTTAAAATAACAAATTTGGAAGGACCTTGTAAGTCATCTAATCAACTTCCTGCTCAAGCAGGAGACCTTATAGCATTTTTTGACAAGTGGCTGTCCAGTCTTTACTTGAAAGCTTCCAGTAATTAAGCACCCATAACCTGGTTCCCTTAGTTGATTGTTCTCACTGTCAGAAAATTTCTTCTTATTTCTAGGTTAAAACTTTCCTTGATTGGTTTCCATCTATTTATTATTCCTTATCTGGCCTACGGGTATTTTGGAAAACAGGTTGTCCCCCTCTTCTCTGTGACAATCCTTCAAATATTGAATACTGCTATCATGTCACCCTTGGTCCTTCTCTTCACTAGACTAGCCATTAAATGCTTCAATAAAAATTATTTTTAAAAGAGAATGATGAAAGCTGGAATGAATCTCAATAAGTGAGCAGAGAAGCAGAGTTTTATTATATCCCTCAGTGTACCTATATGTACTATCACATATACAAGGGAATGAGGAAAGATATATTAGGGTAATCAGGAAGATGGTTGAAAAGAAAGAGTTTAGGCAAAAAGTTTTTTGGACTCAAGCAACATGGCTTTGCTACACCAAAAAGGTCAAAATAGCCACTTATTTTATGATTACAAAGAAAGTGGGATGGAAAATGGTGGACATTCTCAGTTATAGAAATGCCCAGTCGGTATAGCTTTGGAGCAGAGTTCTGATGAATTCTTGCTACTGATCATATTGCCCAGGGACGATAATGCATGAAATCAAGAGCATTTAAAAGCATTTGCTGGACCACCTTGGTAATGGCAGATGGATGAAGAATGCACAAGAAATAAAGTACTTTTAAATGTTGAGCCACTTAGACAGAAATGTGCTTCCAGGAGAAAATCTGGCTGGGAGAGAAATGACTGCAGAAGATGATATAAATAAATAAAGGACAGGGGTGGACTGCTACATCAAAAAACAAAATCTAGCACAGATTCGGGAGATAAAACAGGTTTTTGGGAGCCATGTTTTCTGCTATATAAAAGACACTTGCAATGCTTTGGTATTATAAAAGGCTTATATTGGTTCATTTATAATCACCCCAGCTTTTTTTTCTCCAGTTAGAACCTTCCTAAACTGATCCCACGCCAGGTAGTGTATCTAATCTGATTCATTTTTTTTGTCATCCCGAAGTCATCAATTTCCTTGTTCAGTTACAACATTTGGTGATCTAATAGAAGATGAGAGAATAGATGAAAAACAGTTGGCTGGAAGTATATATGCAGAAGCAATAGATTTATTCAAAATGCAGAAAAGTTTCCTATATCATTCATTAGTTGATTGAATGGCCCATCATTTAAAAGCACTTCCTTTCTTGCGTATTCTTTATTTTTCTGCACATGCTGTAATGGTCTACCAGAAGCTTCGTAGATGCTCTGGTCTTCAGGAATCATCATCTTCAGTAATAAAAGTTTTTGGAGCTTTAGTGGAAAGTGTTGCTTACTTCTATGGTAGAACATTGGATAACCTTCTAGGACACAAGTCCTCTGTTGGCTAAATATACTAGATGACTTCATTGGTAGCCCTCTTATTTCTAGGCACAACTGGAGATTATGTTTGCAATTTGAAAGGGCAGATACTTTTATTATCTCAAGAAACAGTGCCTCCTATGCCTCTTTCTAAGCAATTAAGATGTAAAAAAAAGAGGTCTTTCTTCCAAATCCAATTTATTAGGCTAATCAGGTTTCCATGAGCGACACACCATTTTATGTGCCCGATTCAGCTAATTGGGGGCATATGTATGCCACATGTTTTCCCTTCCTTGCTTTGTGAAGATCTTTACCTTTCAAGTGTCTTTTGGTTCTACTCTTCTGCTTGTTGGAGGTAGTACTCCAAAATTATAAGTTTCATGCAAAGTGCTGTCAGAAATAGTAACGAGTGACATAGACTCACGTCTGTAGTAGATCCTTTGAAATGGAAAAAGATCTGAGCTAGTCCCGATTAATTATTTAGGTAGTTTTAAATATGCCTATATCTGCTCCCAGCAGTCCCCAAGTGAGTTGCAGATATATCTATACTTATATTAATTTAAATTAATCAGTGGAATAGCTTGCCTCCCAGCATTGTGGGTGCTCCATCACTGAAGGCTTTCAAGGAAAGATTGGACATCCATTTGTGCAGGATGATATAAGGACTCTCACTTTGGACAGAGGATTGGACTAGAAGACCTCCAAGGACCCCTTCCAAGGACCTATGATTCTGTATAAGGATTGTAAAATATTTTGTACACTAAATTGTAAAATTAGAAAGAATATGGTGTTTTTTTCTGCCTTGTGTAGATTGCTTTAACATGGCTTTATTTTGTGCAATTCTAGTACAATGATAGTACCTACGGCTTTTATGGACCTTCTGTAAATAACATAAGTATTCTTTGCAGTGGAACCTTGACTTCCATCAAATCCTTTTTAAAAATCCCACAGGTAGTTCTTGACTTGCAGTCATTCGTTTAGTGACCATCCGAAGTTAACAACCACATTGAAAAGAGTGACTTATGATCAATTTTAGAACATTAACAACTTTTGCAACATCCCCATGGTCACATGATCAAAATCCGTGTGCTTGGCAGGTATTTTATGACAGTTGCACTGTCCTGGGGATCCTGTGATCACCATTTGTAATCTTCCAAGCTGGCTTCCAACAGGCAAAGCCAGTGGGGAAGCCGGATTCACTTAAGGGCTGTGTCAACTAAAAAGATACTCCTTTGGTCTTTTTAGCTGCCAGAAAAAGGGAGTGGGGGAAAACAAGGCATTCTTGAAATGCCTAGATATCAACTCAGCAGCCCAAAGTTGTCGGAGCATAAGAAGGTTATTGGAGAGCATGATGGATGACTCTTGGAGACGGATGTGTCCTATTGGAGAAGTCACATCCAGGGGGTGGGGGAAAGACCAGGGTCAAGGGGGAAATGTGTGATATGATGTAGTACTGGCTGGTTTATTAGTACTGGCTAATAAACCAATTTACTTTTTCTGAGGTGCGGCTAGAGACTTTTGCTTTGAATGGGGGTGATTTGTTGGAGCCCTAACAGGCTGCGTAATTCGCTTAACAACTGTGGCAAAAAAAAGTTACAAAATCACTTAACTGTCTTGCTTAGGAACAGAAATTTTGGACTCCGTTGTGGTCGTAAGTCAAGGACTACATGTATATGATTTAGTGTTGGCAATATTTTAGGGTACATTGAATACTCGGTATCTAAAGATCTGCATGAAAATTATTAAAATATTCTATAGAAATAAATAGAGGGCATCACTCTACAATAGCATGGAGCTATTTGACATGGAATAAAAAATACTGTATTTTTTAAAAAAATATATTCTTATTCCAAAGATGTTTGTAAAAAGAAACAATATGTCCGAATCCACTTAATAAATCAGTAAAGGATACACTTCTAATAACTGGAAAGGCTCTTCAATATTTATTGAAATAGTAAATATGAATATGAATTGAGGTAGTTCGGTGTAGAAGTTAAGGCCGCAGGCTAGAAACTAGGGAAATGGGAATTCGAGTCCCACCTTAGGCATGAAAGCCACCTGGGCACCAGTTACTCTCAGGGTGATTGTTGTGGGGAAGTAGGAGGAGGAACCAATATTAGGTAAGTTTGGTGCCTTGAGTTATTTACAAAAATAATAATTTTTAAAAATCTAAATCTAATGTAAAAACTGAATATTTACTAAGCATTCATATTATTTCTGTGGTTCTAATCTGAGTGGTTCCTCTCTCTTACCCCCAATCTTCCATGCCTTGGGTCTTGGTACACTATTTGCTCATAATTTATGGATGAGAAAATTTACATGACATCTCCATGATTTAGGGAGCACTTTGTGATGATGGAACGGAACGGAAGATTTTCTTTTTTCTCAGGATAAATAAAATATCCATGAATAATAAAGGAAGAGAATATGAGCTAGTTTATTACCATTCTATCTTAAGGAGCTTACCTTTTTCAAATTACCATAATTTCAATTAGTAATATCACCAGAGGTACCTTGTTTAAATAACCTGTATAGGAGAGAGAGAGAGATAAAGCATTCACTGTTTCCTCAGTCAGTATAAATAAATTTACATTTTGAATACAACTATTTGTTCCCGGCACAGTTAATTAGTTAAATGTAAATCAGTTATAGCTTTCCAACTGAGTATTTTATTCTCTACTTTGTGAATGATATTAATTGGATTCTGTCCCTTTTCTCACAGCTGCACTGCTGAAACTACCCTTGATCTCCCTTCCCCCAAATCCTGTGAAGTTCAGAAAGCAGATCACCCTTTTGGGGAAGACTGTCATCAATCCGCAGTGAGTTACTTGGCGTGGGCAAAGGGTTGCCAATGATAATGGATGCATCATGATTTGAATGATGCCACATAGACACTTGCATTAGACTCTGTGATGCGTTAGGCTCTGTGCTGCAGCCTATTTTCCAAAGCACCAAAAGGTAAGACAAGAAACAATGGTTGGAAACCAATCAAGGAGAGAAACAGCCTGGAACTAAGGAGAAATGTCCTGACAGTTAGAACAATCCTACAGTGAAATACTTTGCCTTCAGAAGTTGTGGGTGTTCCATCATTGGAGGCTTCAGCTAGGTTCAACTTGAAGGCCTCTGAGGTCTTTTCCAATTCTATTATTCCATATTGATTCTATGTTCTCAGTGCTAACTGGTGTCTTTTGAGCAATGATATCATGATAAGATATCATCACTTGGATGATCTGATAGTGGCTTCCTATGGACACCACTATGGACACCAGGGCATTGAGGAGCAAATGAAGAAACATGCATTGCAATATTGTGATGCAAACTCTTCTCCTTTTGTGACCACGTTACAACATTGAAATCATGCATATAAGGGGGGCAGGCTTCTGTTCGGTGAATTTGACAAATATAAAGTTGGCGTGAGCATCCTGGTTGAAGTATAATTGGCTATCCTGTGTAAAGCTTTCTTCTGAATCCACTTCTTTACCTTCCAGAGCACCATCTCGAATTGCCGCAGATCGAGTTCTGACATCTCCTATGAAACCCCGGTCTGCATCAAAGTTCAGCGGGAGTGTCGATTACGGCCTCATTTCAGCGACCCAATGCCAACAGATGCAGTAAAGAGGAAACAACTGGAGTTAAAGATAGCTGCAGCAGCCTGTCACCATGCCCAGAAGCGCCGGCAAGAGAGAGAATCCAGTAAATCCCATTTTTTTCTCCTTTTTTTATAATGGTTGTCCTGCCTAGATGGCAGCATGTAGCTGACTTTGGTTGATCTTGAAAACATAACAAGAGCCGTGGTGGCGCAGTGGTTAGAATGCAGTATTGCAGGCTCACTGCTCACTCCAGTAGTTCGATCCTGACCGACTCAAAGTTGACTCAGCCTTCCATCCTTCCTAAGTGAGTAAAATGAGGATCCAGATAGTTGAGGGCAATATGCTGACTCTGTAAACCACTTCGAGCAGATTGTAAAGCACTGCTCAGCTGTATATAAATCTAAGTGCTAGTGCTATTGCTTTAATGGTTTTCAAATATCCAAAACTATTTATCAACCCTAGATTAATATTTGGGCTGGAAACCATTGGAACCCAGAGTTGTAACCTTACATGGGAATTGAAGAAAGCATCTGAAAAAGGCAATGGCAAATCATTTCTGCACTGTTGTCCATCTGTTGTCAGCTGCTGAGCTCATCTGTCATGAGGTCACAGGCAAGAACACAGGAGTTTCATGAACTCATGAAATATTTCACCATTAAATAGTGAAATTGTTTTAGATTTAATTTCATGGCTTCACACACACACATACTATTTAGACTGTGGCATTACTGACCTTTGCTGTAGAGGTCTACAATAGGAAAAAGAAAATAGATGTAATTGATTTGACACTACTTCCTGCCCTGTATAACAAAGCTCTAGATCAGGGGGTCTCCAAACTTGGTAGCTCTAGAACTTGTGGTTTTCCACTCCCAGAATTCCCCAGCCAGCCAGTCTTAAAGTTGCCAAGTTGGGAGATCTCTGCTCTAGCTCAAGCAGAAATCTTGCATGTTTCGGCTAGACATGTCCTGAAGTTGCTTCTAGTATAGTAATTAGAAAGGGACGATGATACCAACACAGTGTCAGGCATTAATCTAGCATTTAATCTTATACAGAACAAGAGACAAATCTGAAACAACTGGTCCTACAGGAACCTCTGGAGCAAATGAGTCTACTTACTAGGCTAAGCACTGTATGACTGTCAAACCATGGATGCTTATCTACTAGGAGTTTCATGAAGGTTTTTGTTGCATTGTTTCTTAACTGCAGATATTGATAATCACTTAGCAAGTTGCATAACTACTGGAGTGTATTTAGTTTAATAATGGCTGATTCTCTTGCCCAACTTTCATAGTTCATTTAATTTTCTAAAGAAATGGTGTCGGTTTAGAACAGGGATCCCTAACCCGTGTTCTGTGGCATGGTAGAAACTGGGCCATGCAAACAAGTGAAGCCCCATCCACAGGATTCAGGCAGCACATGAAACCACACTCCCTCCGGTCCATGGAAAAATCTCTCTCCATGGTACTGGTCTCTGGTACCCAAAAGGTTGGGGACTGCTGGCTTAGAGAATGGCTTACATTAGCTGTAGATAAAAATGTCAAAAATATTTTTTCTTCTACTTAATAACAGTTGAAGTATCCTCAGATTGAACTTGACCCCTAGTGAATACATGGACAGATCTCTGCAGTTTTCTTGGTAGCCTCATATCATTTCCCTATTTTGAGAATTGTTTCCAACTTCCCAATTTATCTTACAGTCTTCGAATTTTCTGGTGGTGTTCCCACCAAAATAGTAAGTTGGTCCGATTTTGCTTTAGTTTCTGAGCAGAATCGGTCGGGTGATTTCCAAGATTCCAATGAAAATAATGCTGTATCATTACAGGTGAATCTTTTTATTGCTAGACAGTGATGTCCATTCTTTTTGCTTCTCTGCTCAGGTCCAGCACTGGCTAAAGCCACTGTCAACCATGGAAACATTGTTGATGAGAATCACCATGTCCTGAGCAGCTCCTTTCGTTCCAAGCACCGCTGGAGCAACGTTAGCAGTCTCAGCGCAGACAGTGGAATTGCAGGCGGGAACGAGGAGAGAGACAGTGCGGACACCGTCATTGGTGGTGGTGGGCCAAGGATTAGGTCATCCAAGATGGAGCGGGCTGATAGTGGTATCAGCCAGGTGTTGAGTAGGAAGTGGAGGAACCGGGCATCAGAAACATTAACATCTCTGCAGGCATGGGAAGCCCATCAACCTTGCACTGACTGCGGTGGCAGAGATTTTCCATTGGAAACAGATGTCCAGAATCAAAACAGGAAACAGGCCATTCTCTGTGAGAAGTGCCTGAAGTGCAGGACAGAACGGAAGGAATCAGTGTTGGAATTTGTCAACACTGAAGCTAGCTATGGGGAAGACCTCCGCATCATCAAGGAGGAATTCTATCTCCCCATGCAAGCAGCTGGCCTTCTAACACAAGAACAGCTGTTGGTGGTTTTTAGCAATATCCAGGAGCTAATTGACCTCAATGAAAACTTCCTGGAGTATCTTCAAGAAGAGATTGAGCAGGCTATCGAGCAGGTACTGTGTGACTTCAAATCGCAATTCCCTTCCCATTTGCAGCAGTTAGATGATTTCTTATTTGTTTTTTGAAGCATGCTACTTTGTGACATTCATTTAAGAATTACTACGTCCAAAGATGCTTCACTTGAAGTATTAATACCATTTTATAATGCCTGGCTAAGGCCGCACTTGGAATACTCATCCAGTTTTGGTCACCGCGATGTAAAAAAGATGTTGAGACTCTTGAAAGAGTGTAGAGAAGAGCAACAAAGATGATTAGGGGACTGGAGGCTAAAACATACAAAGAACGGTTGCTGGAACTGGGTATGTGTAGGGAAGGACTAGGGGGTGACATGATAGCAGTGTTCTAATATCTCAGGGGCTGCCACAAAGAAGAGGGAGTCAAGCTATTCTCCAAAGCAGCTGAGGGCAGGACAAGAAGCAATGGGTAGAAACTTATCAGGGAGAGAAGCAACTTAGAACTAAAGAGAAATTTTCTGACGGTTAGAACAATTAATCAGTGGAACAACTTGCCTCCAGAAGTTGTGAATGCTCCAACGCTGGAAGTTTTTAAAAAGATGTTGGACAACCATTTGTCTGAGGTGGTGTAGGTTTCCTGCCTAAGCGGGAGGTTGGACTAGAAGACCTCCAACTCTGCTATTCTATTCTATCATCTTGTTGACCTCCAATGTATTGAGAAATTCAGCATTCTGAGAAGGTACCCTCCAGATGTTTAACTGCATCAGATGTATCCCAGAATCCTTTCTGTGCATCTGTCCAGAATTCTTAGAACAGGCACATGAAATATGCTTTATCAGCTCTCAATTTAGTTAACTGAGTGTCTATTCTTCCCTATGAAGTCCACCTTCATTTCCCAAACTTCAGTAAACCTGTTGCACTGTGACATCTGCCTTCGGTTACCGATATGAGCACATTTCTTTTGGCTGAAGGAAAATGATGTTAACAAGCTTTTTTTTTCCTATAAGAAAACCCTAATGTAATGTAAAGACCGCTGCCTGTCTATATTTTGTAGTTCATTACTGCTTCTGAAAGGAATGAAAACCATATGCAAGTAGTTCTCAACTTACAACCATTTTGTCTAGTGACCAATTATCAGCACTGATAAAGTTGACTTATAACTGTTCCTCACTCTTAGAAGCAGCATCTCCACATTCAATTGATCAAAATTTGGGTACTTGGCAAATAGCAATAACACTTAGACTTATATACCACTTCGCAGTGCTTTACAACTCTCTCTAAGCGGTTTATAGAGTCAGTATATTGCTCCCAACAATCTGGGTCCTCATTTTACCCACCTCGGAAGGATGGAAGGCTGAGTCAACCTTGAGCCTGATGAGATTGGATCTGCCAAATTGCAGGCAGCCAGCAGTCAGCAGAAGTAGCCTGCAGTACTGCACGTTAACCACTGCGCTACCACAGCTCAAATAGCATGTATTTATGGATAGTTGCAGCACCCCCAGAGTCATGCGATCGCCCGTTGTAACCTTCCCAGCCAGCTTCTGACAAAGTCAACGGAGGAAGCCAGATTCAGCTAATAATTGCACGATTCCTTCAACAATTGCAGTGATTCAACTAATAATTGCAGCAAAAAAGGTCATAAAATTGGACATGACTCACTCGGCAACCATCTTAACAACAGACCATAGTCAAGGACTACCTGTAATTTCCTACGGAAATTCATTTTGACAGCATCATCCAAATGGGATAGTTTTGCCTCTGAATTAATAATTAAAAGAAAACCTTAGCTTTGCCAACAGTTAATGAATGAATGAACATTAGGGTAGTTGATTTCTTAAGTATTATTCAAACCATGTTGCAGATTGTCCATCTTTCCTGAAGGCATTGAAGGTTATTTATAATGGATTAGAAAGGCATTAAAATACATTAATTATGCCAATCTGTAAGCCTTATTGGTTAACCTCAAAAGTCAGTTGAGACAGAGATAATTATTTTAAGACTGGCAATCACTTTGGGGAAAAGCTTTCATTTAATACTAGTACACAGTTGTTCCATTTTTTCCCCTCATACAGATAATGCTAACTTGGGTCCCAGGCGTACAAAGCTCTGCTTTAATTTTTAAGCAATAGATGGCCTCCCTATAAAATTGGGAGAATTGCTGTCCAAATTGAGTTGGGTAGGGCAAGGAACTTCAAACATGGTTCAATTATAAGCCTCAGCAAAAGAATTAACATGGTTAATCGTGAGGGATCATGGGAGCTGTAGCTTATCAACAGCTGAAGCACCACAAGATCTTTGTCTTCTGGAATAAATAGTACTGATTCAGATAGATGGATGGTCAGAAAGAGAGGCCATAGTTCAGGCTATAGCCAAATTTTATACTCATTTAATTCCTGGGAACTCCAGGTAAAGCTGGAAAAAGATCCTGAGAAATTTCTTATAACTGGACAGCCCTGAATGAGATGGCCCAAAGGCCTGGTGATCTATTAGGAAGTTGTGTGTATTTTTAGTAATGAGAAAAGGGTCGAATAGAATAGAATTCTTTATTGGCCAAGTGTGATTGGACACACAAGGAATTTGTCTTGGTGCAAATGCTCTCAGTGTACATAAAAGAAAAGATATATTCGTCAAGAGTCAAGAATCACAAGATACAACAATGATAGCCATAGGGTACAATAAGCAATCAAATCATACTAGGAAACAGTCAATATAAATCGTAAGGATACAAGCAACAAAGTTACAGCCATACAGTCACAAGTGGGAGGGGGTGGGTGATAAGGAGTGATGAGAAGATTAATAGTAATAAGGTTGTCCTACAATCGACCATACTCCTACTAAACAGCTTTGGAGGAGGAGGGGGAAGGAAGAAGAGGAAGAGGAGGGCTATTTTCACTAGGACTATGACAACCCTATGAAAGGTGCGAGTGTGTTATATATCTTCAAGAGTTACAGCAGAGATGTCGAACTGGCAGTCCGTGGGCCAGTTGCGTCATGCACAGGTCACATCCACCCCAGCTCTGTGAAGGGAAAAAATGTCACAAAACATCACATGACAATGTGATGCTGTGAGTTTGACACCCGTGGGTTATAGCAGCTACATTCTTCAGAAGGCTTGTCTGCTTTAAAGGTTCCCTCCCTTGTCTCTGCGTGCATATGCATATGCAGTTAGAGTCATTTTGCTTTGCTTGTGATACCCCAGTAGAAGTATTGCCCGTGTGTGTTCACATATGCGGAAACTGGAGAAAACACTTGGAGTAGCTGTGGCAACCCTTCTAGAAGATGTGGCTGCTTTAATACTTCAAGGAGGGGTGAGCCATTCATGCTTCTGCATTTTGCAAGGTGTCCTTGTGAAATGCTTTGCACGATCCTAATGTCCGCTTATTTGAATACACTCAGTGGTCACAGGTCACCATAGTTCAAAGGTGAAGTTTATTTAAATTGGCTCTCACATGTTTTGGACTGCAGTCTAGTGCACTTCTACTTGCAAATAAACCCCAGTATATTTAATGAGTAGTTAACTGTTTCTTAGTGGACCTCCTCAGAATTCTGTAAGTATTCTCAATTTTTGCAGGGAAAAAAAATGTAACTACAGATGTTTATTTTTGGTGCCTTTGAATTCCGTCACGTGATGTTTTTCGACATTTTTCTTTTCGCGGAGCTGGGGTGGGGCATGACGCATCCAGCCCCTTGGGGAGCCAATTTGACACCCCTGCATTGGATCATAACCTTTATCAAATAAAAGGCAAATCCCAATGTAGAAAAAGATGCACATTTGTTTCAGTTGGTGAATGGTAAGGCAATGAATGGTTTTGAATTTCTAAGAAGTTGAAACTTATGAATGAGCCCCACCTGCCTTCATGAATTCCCATTTTCTCAGTCCATGCGTAGAAGTTTTCAATTTGCCATATCCATACCAAAGAACTGTAGGGTCACCTGCTTTAGAACAAGCCAGCATCGCAAACCACATTCAGATCTTATTATTGAAAACTGCTTAAAAGAAAAGGAAAGATTGAGGTTAACCGTTGAATTATACGTACAAATGATGAACATGTAATTGCCAAAATGGATGAACACTTGCTGAAATTTGAAATGATGTCTTGCCCAAGATTTCTTCTTTAAGCCAAGACAGAAATATGTAAATTGAGCCCGTGTTATAATATGGCATGTTGACTTATGTACTCCAATGATGCTGGAAGTTCAAACAGGGAAATCAAGGACAATCAAAGAGCTGAAAATTAAATCCTGAACACAGTATTCTAAATATCAGAATTATTTCAGTTCCTCTCTATTATAATAGCATTTTTATCTGAAGTCTTTAAATCCAACAGATGGTCATTAAATTTGAGATATCCAACAGAACTGGTCCTTTCTAAATTATCTCCACTTCCTTTAATCCTCAAAAAATTTTCTTGTTACAATCCTATATATCAGCCAAATCAAATATAATGTCTGTAATATCTTTTTCCAGTAATGAACATCAAGTTTATATTTCATGGTAACACAATAAGCTTTGCTAGCACTCTAGGCAACCACTGGAAATTGAGAAGACTTTCATTTAGTTGTTAATTCTTTAAACCAACTCAGATCTTCCTAGCTTATTCCACTTTTAGTTCCTGCTTGAGTTACTGTACAGCAGGGCTGAAAAACCCCCGGCCCACAGGCCGGATACGTCACATGCTGGCCACGCCCACCCTGGTTTAGCAAAGGGGGAGGGGAAGTCCCGATATATCACATGATGCAGCCGTGACGACGTGAGTTTGACATTCCTGCTTTACAGTATTTAGATTTCCTGTTTTCTGAGTTTCAGAACATCCTGTACAGTGCTTGAATTTTTTAGTGCTGTATCAGAATATCCAGAGATGCTGCCATTTTGTCTTTATTAGTAATGTGGCATGATGGTTCATCCGCTTTCGATTCATCCACATAAGCCTTAGTTTCCACATAAGCCTTTTGGGGAATCGCCTTTCTTAAGCATCTTTTTCTAACTAATATTGCCAATTAACAGAAAGTGAAAATGATCAGAAAAGGAAATTGGGAGGAGAATAATCAACTCAACATGCCAACTTCTCCCCATTAACTGTTTACCCTTCAGCATTTCTGTTTCTCTTCTTCATCTTGTATGTTGACAGGGTGATGATGACCTCATGACTGTGTGCATTGGTGAAATATTCCTGGAGTTTGTGAACATGCTGCCTGCATTCCAGACATATTGTCTCCAGCAGCCATCCTCTGTGAACATGCTCAATGCATTGGAAAAGGAAAAAGAGTTACTCAGGTGAGGATGGTTCCAAATTTTTAACTAGGCAGGAGGTTCAAGAAAACACACTTGGAAGCAATTGTGCTTTGGGGATGGATAATACTGATGACTAGAGCTGAGGAACAAATGTTTCTGAGCTTGTACTAACAGTGACATGTTGGCAACTGGGATAATGAAATGGCTTTACTCACCTATTGGTTTCCCTGAGTGACTAAGAGAGCCAGGTTCGTGGACTTCAACTTTTGACCACAAGTGAGTCTAAAATTTCTGTTGCCAAGCAAGACAGTTGTTAAGTGAGTTTTATTTCATTTCATGACCTTTTTGCCATAGCTGTTGAGTGAGTAATAAGGTTGTTAGTAATAAGTTAATAATAAGGTTGCTAAGTGAAACTGGCTTCCCCATTGATTTTGCTTGTCACATGATCCCGGGGTACTGCAACTAACATAAATACATGCCAGTTATCAAGTGTCTGAATTTTGATCATGGGCCTATGGGGATGCTGCAATGGTCATTAGAGTGAAAAATAGTCATAAGTTACTTATTTCAGTGCTGTTGTAACTTTGAACAGTCACTAAACAAATGGTTGTAAGTCAAGGACTATCTCCAATGGTTCAGATCAGAAACTGGGAAGTCATGAGTTCTAGTCTCACCTTTGGCATTAAGCCCGCTGGGTGATCTTAAACCAATTCCTCTCAACCCATGAAGAAAGAAATGGCAAACCAATTCAGAAAATCATGCTAAGCAAAAGGGACTAGTCAACACTTTGAGTCAACATTGACTCAGAAGTACAATGAAAGTCACTAAGACAAATTCTATTACTTTGCTAAACTGGAAGAGAATAAAGTGAAACTATTGAGCCAACCTATGATTTTATTTTAATTCATTACTCCTGAGGTAGAAATTTGTAAGTGCAGCAAAGTTGATTCTTAAATAAAACTCGTACCTTCTGTGAAGCCAAAATATATATATTTGATAGGAAGAAAGGAGATGAAAGATTATGATTAGGAATTTAGAATGTTTTCTAGGAAACAATACGAGTTTTCTAGGAAATGATCAACAATATGAGTCTTGGTGGAGCAGTGCAGTACTGCAGGCTACTTCTGCTGACTATCGGCTGCCTGCAATTTGGCAGTTCAAATCCCACCAGGCTCAAAATTGACTCAGCCTTCCATCCTTCCAAGGGGGTAAAATGAGGACCCAAAATTGTTGAGGGCAATATGCTGACTCTCTAAACCACTTAGAGCAGGCTGTAAAGCATGATGAAGTGGTATATAAGTCTAGGGCTATTACAATACAAATTCTTGTATTTGCTGTACAAATTTGAATTTACTATACAAATTCTTGTCCAAAGTGAGTCTTGATAATAAAATCTACATTTGCATACCCTTGGAATTATTGACGAAATGGTAAGTGGTAGAAAACTAGTCCTTGGCTACCAATTGGATAAGTCAGGAATTTAGGAAATTCAAAATGCTAATTTTTGAATAGTTATATGCAATAGTTGCAATTATTTTCAGGTGGGAGAAGAAGCAAAAAATATATTAGAAAGAAAGTGGAATACAGTATGTTTGTAAAATTCTGAAAATTAAATAGTAATGACTGTTTCAATATTTAATCCACTGCAATTTTCATTATTGTTATTCAACTGAGCCTTTAGAAGCAGACGCTAGGGATGGGCCACTGGCACAGGTTCAGTTGGCTCCAGCAACTTTATCTTATCATAACATGATCCTAAACGTTGAGGAGTCTACCCAACTAGTGCATTTTAGCATCTTTTCTTTTGACAGAAAAGATGGGCTATCTATTCTCCATTCACTATACATGAAAAGAAATAGATGCTCTTTGGCCCTTACACATTTCTCCATTTTCATGTCTATATGTGAGACATTTTAGAAAAATGAGAATAGGGAACTGATGTGCAAACGGGCAGGTTGCCAGAGTCTCTCATGGAAGGCTGGATGTAGTAATTTAGTAAGCTAGTAAAGCCACGGGGTGCCCCCTGTCATGTACAAAGGCAATTCCAATTGTGATTAAGTAAATCTTTATCATTTGTAAGTGCCGCCATTATACCCATGAATGGAAGGTTAATTCTGGGGATTCAGCATAATCTATGCTTCATTCAGCTGTCTTGTCCAAAACATCTGCCTAAGTCTGTGTAGTAATTGGGCCAGCCTGCTCTGCTGCCATTATGCAGAAATGGAGGACTTTGTCTCAGTAGATCTTTGTGGTAGGAGTAAATCAGTAGGGTTGACATTTCGATCCTTGCTCCATCTAAAAGATGACTCATGATAAGATTCGGTTTTTGAGTAGAACTCCTATTTCTTATTCCATGTTGCATAATTTATATAATGAATTAAACTCTGAAATAGGCTGAGTGATTATCCAGAAGGGTGAGTAGAGAAATAATTCAGTTCCACTAAGCATCAGCATAATGCATTGTTAAGGCACTTGGTCACTAGAGGTAAATACGTTTTTGTTCAGCACAAAAGACCAGCTCCACACTTGAGGGTCCAATTAAACTGATTTATTACCAAAACACAATGCCTAAACACAGGAACCTTCTTTACTAAAGGTTAGCATCTGCTAGGAGTTAGATAAGGGTCAATGAAATTCAGGGAGGGTTGGACTTGGTCCACTTGTGACTACGTAGGAATTCTAGGCTGGTTACTCTTTTAACTCCACCCCCAGATTTTCTTACAGTTTTGTATGCATGAAAAAGGTTATGATTTAATCACTCCCATTATTTGCAGGATATTCCTCAATGTTTCTCAGAATGACAACACCGCCCTTCGTCGCATGAATCTTCGGTCCTTCCTCATAGCTCCACTACAGAGAGTCACCAAGTATCCCCTTCTTCTGAGCCGCATCATCAAAGCCACCATGGAGTACCACCCAGATTACAGCAATCTGCTGGAGGCCAAAAGCCGCATCGAGTCCCACCTGGAACACATCAATATGAAAACCAAGCAGGAAGGGAATTCATGGACTCTGCGCTCCTTCCGCCAGGACAGCAAGAAGAACAGAGAGGTGATCAACATTGAAATGAGGGAAACTGCTCTCAAAACAATGGGCTGGCTGCGGGAAGAAACACGGTTTGTGATGGAAGGCTCCTTACAGCTGGCCCAGCCACCTGATGGACAATGGGTGAAAAAGGGCAGCAAGACGTTGAAGTTCCAGAAGATGCAAGTTCTCCTGATGGTCAACATCAGGCGTGCATCTGAGTCCAGTTTTGAACCAGGGGAGCCAGGCTCTGTGAAAGATGCAGTATTGGTCCTTATTCGGGATAAGAACAATGGCAAGTTCAGTTTGCTCAGGGAGCCCTTGAGACTCAGCAACTGTGTCGTCTCTGTGGATCCCGACTGCGACGACACATTTGAACTGCTTGAGATAAGACGGGAATCCTTCATATTTCGAGATGGGGACAAGGCCCGAACTCACCACTGGTTTAGGCAGATAAGGAGGTACTCTCGGGAGCTGGGCTCCTGGAAGAAGCGGCGTAACGCTTTGCCCAATATCATGATAAGTGCATCTCACAATAGGTCGTGAGAGGGGCTGCCCGAGAAATGACTTGGCCAAGCTCTGAAGCCCTACCAGTCCTGCTTGAATATCTCTTTGTCAACACAACTGCACAAAGGATGAACTTCAGCTGTCCAAATAGCATTGGTGCTACCTATGACCACTATCTACTAAGAAGGACTTTCTAACAAGTGCTTTGTAGTGCTGTTTTCACACTGCAGGCTTAACTAAGTCGGGTAAGGGCACAGGGCCTGTATTCACACAACATGGTAAGCCTGATGGGTCTTAACTTTGGTTAGGCTTAGCAAAATGCACAACCCAGACCATTGGCCAGTTTATGGTTCCATGTGTTGCGTGATCCCAGGAAGTGGAATAATTCAATAAGTCCCAGGTTAAGCATGCGGTGTGAACCACAACCAATGTTTCTAAATTCCACACACACACACACACAAAAAAAATGAGTCCATGTTTAAACTTGTTAAATCTTCTTATTACCTAGACCCTAACCTAGAAACCTCAGTGTGGAAGCTTAACCTGGATACACCCATAGGCAGAGTGTCCTCTTACAGCATTCTTAGTTTGCAGCTAATTACAGAATCCTCACCCCGGAACTTCTGAGAATAGATAACACAGAACAGTTAGGGATTTCACTGGTCTAATCCTCTTTTTCAGCTTGAGTAGTTCTGTTCACATAGAAGCACACTTTTGGGAAACCTCGAGATTCTCTTTAGGTCTGCCATCCATTCAGTGTAAGAATTCTAGTCTCCCTTTCCTCAGGCCTGTATTCCCTTTGAAAAAAACCAGAGGCATAAGAACGTAAAGGCTCTGTAGAAGTAAAACTGCTTGAGATATTGTCATATCGAGAACCAACCTATCATTTACAGAGCTGGTATCAAGAAAGAAAGAACTTACTTGCCTGAGAATTTCCTATACAGGTAGTCCTCAATTTAATGACTGATTGTTTCATGATCATTTGGAGTTACAGAAGACTTGGAAAAGGGGATTTAGGGCCCATAAAACAATTCCAGCCATTGTAAAATGTTGCTCCCCTGTGGTCATACGACCACATTTTAGGTGCTTGGCAACCGGCTCACCTTTACAACTGGTTGCAGCATCGTACAATCACATGACTACAATTTGCAATGCTTGTTTACTAGTTTTCAGCAAAAAAAAAAAACGAAACACCCTCCCACTTGGGAGAATGGGTCCAAACTTACAACCGCATGATTCATTTAATGAGAGTTATAAAAATGTCTGTAAAATTGGGTCCAGTCACGGGAACAAGACCCTCATGACTTATGACCAAAATTCCGGTTCCTGTTGCAGTCATAAGTAGAGAACTACCTGTAAGCACTGAACATAATATGTGTTGTTGGGAACATGTCTGTATGAAAGGAAGAGAGGACAGCATTCTCCTCTTGGCCACCAGCTTGAGAAGTAACCAGATGAGGTTTTCATGTGGTAGAACAAGGGTGTTCAAACTTGGCAAGTTAAAAGACTTGTGGACTTCAACTCCCAGAATTCCTCAGCTAACATGACTGGAGGAGGAATTCTGGGAGTTGAAGACCACAAGTCTTAAAGCTGTCAAATTTGAAGACCCCTGTGGGAGAAGTGTCAACATCCAGATTCTGGCCAGTAGGAATGGGTGGTTTTTTTGGTTTTTTGTTTGCACTTCTCGTAATAAATAGGTTCAACAGCACTGACAACAAAATCAAGTGTTGTCTGACCTAGGAGTTGTGGGGCGGAGTGGAAGAGGGCAGGCCTTTCAGGTTTGTGACCTATTGGAGATGATAATCTTCTCATACGGTAAATGGATACCCCTTGGCATCAGATCTAAGGAGCAGGTCTCTTAAGAAATATTGAGCTCATATTGTTAATATTGTGCAGATAAGATGACGAATGTTTGCTATGTGACCTTGCATGACTGTGCTGCGGAAAAGCATCCTGGGACCATGTAATAGAGATTTCATTGTATGTATAATAGTGTTAGGTAACATGCAGGTCAACTTTAGAGCAGTATTAATCCAATAAGAGAGAATGTTTAGACAGTGTCATTGTTTTCACATTGTAGCTTGCTGTCCCAGGAAATACTACTACCTTTAGGAGTTGTTTCTGCTTCTGGGAAGGTTTTATTTTATAAAAGAAAAATCTATGAGTTTTGTCCTCTTTTGCTCTCGAGACCAAGTAGGTGCCAGTTTGTTGAATTTTACATTGCCCAGAATGCATGTAATATGTAAGACGGAAGAGAAGCCAAATACATATTTGACATTCACCCACAACTATTCCTGAATATCTATAGAATCCAGTGGAGAAGCAATAGCCTCTTTTTAAGCACTAGTGGACTTAATTTGTAAATGAATTAAAGAACGACTGTAGAAATCCAATTCTGTATATATCCATTCGTTCCAAACTGTCTTCTGCTAATAAGGTTCAGTCACCTCTCCTAGTTGGTGACAACTATATAAAAATATGCATTTCCCAATTCCCATCCAATAAGGAATCTGTCACAATACATTCTAGATTAACAATAATATATTTTAATATTCCCTTTTTATTTATTGTAATTATTTTGCACGGTTTCCATATGCTTCTCTGCATCAGGATTTAAAATGCTTGCTATTGAATATCTGTCATTCTACACTTCCTAGAGGTACTTCTCTTTCTTCCCAGGTATTTCAAGCATGGTTACCAGGAAAGAGGAAGAAACAGACCCCATTTATTTGTTTCTATTTTGCAAACTGTCTGGTAGCTGAAATTCTCTAGGTGCTTTACAGTAAAGCCCACTGAAAATAAAATTTGAATAAAAATACATAAATAAAATCCAATAAGATTTGGATTTTAGAATACAGTACTGCAGGCTACTTCTGCTGACTGCCGGCTGCTTGCAGTTTGGCAGTTCAAGTCCCACCAGGCTCAAGGTTAACTCTGCCTTCCATCCTTCCAAGGTGGGTAAAATGAGGACCCAGATTGTTGGGAGCAATAGGCTGACTCTGTAAACTGCGTAGAGTTGGCTGTAAAAGCATGTATAAGTCTTAAGTGCTATTGCTATAAGATATAAAAACAGCAGGTAAACTAGGTAGCAACATAATGATGTTTGGTAATATTAAAGTACAGTTTGAACAGTATGTTTTAATTGGAGGTATTGGCTTTTGCATTTCAAAACGAAAATTTCATTTAACTACCAGTAAACTTCATTTGAGAACTAATTGAATGTAGTGGTCTTCCTTATTTATCAGCAGGAAGACTCAAATCCAGGAAGCCCCTACTGGCCCTTGCACAACATCTGCCCAACAACTTTAACGATTCCCAATGGAAAGCCAAATGGGTGGCTAAACACCCAGTCATCGGAAGACATATAAATGACCCCACAAAAAAGATGCCACGCTTTGAAGCACGTCAGCAATCCTGCCTAGGACTCGCATCTCACATGGCATCTGCCAGGACTCTGTATAAATGGGACATTGTATCCTCTCAGTGCGAATACAGGGTCCCATGTCAAACTAGATCACATGAAAGCTGAGGGCAAATACTGGTCTAGTATCTGATTTTTAAAAAATATATAAATGATGCTGTGTTCTTAGTGATTAGATGGCCTAGACATTGGTATTTGAACACATATCTTTTTAACATTTATATTTTACTGTGTGTTTACTAATCTAGATGAAATGTTTATACTGCTAGTCCATATATGATATGCCATACGGTAAATAAATAGTGGTTAAGACATCAGGCTAAAACCTGGAAGACCTTGTATTCTAGTCCAGCCATAGGCACAAAACCAGTTTGGTGACCTTGGGCCAGTCACTTTGTCTCAGCCCTAGGAAGAAAGCAATGGCAAATCACTTCTGAAAAACCTTGCCAAGAAAACTAAGGATCAATCCAGGCAGTCTCCAGTAATTGAGCTGATTGAATAAGGAAAAAAAAGTCCCCATTTCATAATCACAGTTGGGCCTGGCAAATTGGCTGTTAAGCAAAGTGATGGCTAACTAAAAATGCGACTGTGCTTACAATCGTATTTTAGCTTTCCTTTGCTTTACAGACCTGAAAAGGTCATAAATATGATTGCTTAGTTATCTTTTCCTCAATGATGTAACTGCAAATGATTGCTAAATGAGGACTACTTATAAATCGTTTTTATTTAAACCAAAGATTCGCAAATTCTGTAGTTCCATGTCGTAAGATGTTTCATAAATTTGGTTAAGTCATCTTATGGCAATAATTGTTTCAGATTTCTTTCAAATCTTTCTAATCTATTTGGAAACCCAAATATTATTAATAATAGTCTTCATAAACCTTAACTATTCTTAGGATAAGAATATACTCTTGAGGGATTTGAGGAATTCAGATGTATCAAACAAATCTGTTTAGCCATTGTTACAATATCTACACTGTTACAACTTATTTTTCTCGTTCTTTCGATCACTTCTTTTCAGACAATGCTGTGTTGGTGCTAGACTAAAATGACAAAATTAAAACAAGTGTGCAGTTCAGGTTTGTGAGCAGCATACAGATGTTTATAGGTTTTGTCTTTAGTAACAAGTTCTTGTTGAAGGAAAAAAACTGGAATGCCTAAGCATTGGGGATGATTACAGAAGTTCAAGAAGAAATTTAGTTGCATTGGATTTTCACATGGATTGATCAGTGGCTTCTTGAATACAAAGTATTAAGCCCAAATCATACACGTTGCAGTTTAGTGCAGTATATGAATTAATCTGTCTCAACATTTTCTCTGCATATAAATAATCAAGTTGGCACTTTGTGACATTAATCACAAACATTTTTTACTTAAAGCTCTTAAAACCTAGTGAAAGAGAATATTTTTAATTTCTCAAAATAAATTCAGGAGTTTGATAGTACCTTTTCTGATTAACACATTCTGTTGAAAACTAGACACGCTGATGATCTATGGCACACTTCATCAGATGTATGAAATGCTAAACTGATGTAAGATTTAAAGAGGGTGTTCATACTATTACACGCGAGTCAGATTACAAATACATCAATTAGTAATGACGTGTTAAACTTTTTATAGTTTAACAAACTTGTTAGTTGGAAAAGGAGC